CCCCGGGTTAGCTACGGGAAGAGGGGGGGGAGGGTGGCGATTCTCATCGGTGAGCTGCGGGCAAGGGGCGACCGGCTTTTCGGAGGATGCTGGGGTTTCCGACAAGCAGCGGGGCGAGTGTGGTTTTTGACGGCGCAGCCTGACTCGAGTTGGTCTTAACGCTTACCGGTGGCTTAATGATTTTTTTCCCCTCCGTGTCTTTATTTTTAGCTTTCATGAAGCAAAGAAGAATGGGGTTGAACGACTTCATTCAGAAGATAGCCACCAACTCCTATGCATGCAAGCAGTAAGTATTAAAAATTTCGGCTGGATTTCACTAACAAATATCGCTATCTATTGTGAGACCTAGCAACAAAATGTTTGCTTACTGTAATACCTCCAGCATGACTATTACAGAAGAGGTAATTGCTCTTCCTCAGGTATTACTCATTTCATCACAGATCTTCATGGGCTCGGTTTGGGACCAATCAGTTGAACTGGATTTCTAGAGCTCAGTCCCCTAATTTGAGCTATTCCTACAGTATATATACATTTTGCTGTATGGCGGAATTTACCTTCACCAGATTCATTTGACTTCTTAAGTCGAATAGGTTGTTTCAGCTGCCTTCTGTAATACACCAAACTGAAATTCATTTTTTGCAACTGAAATTCATTTTTTTTGCAAGTGCGATACTTGCTTGCCCTCTAGTGGAAAGATCTGCATGTCTGAAGCTTATGGTAACTGTTCTAATAATGGATGCTCTTATCCTTGCAGCCCTGAAGTTCAGTCTATCTTGAAAATCTCCCAGCCTCAAGAGCCTGAACTTATGAATGCTAATCCTTCTCCTCCAGTAAGTAGATTTTACTGTGTGAAGCATTTTTAGAACGAACCAGTAGTAGAAACATAGTTAAATTAGCATCACAAGGGTTACTTTAGTTCAGCTCCTAGTTCACTAATGCAATTAGAAAAAAGAAGTAATCAGGTTAGAATAAATATTTTTCCCCATACTGAGAGCAATATTTAAAAAATAAGTTTAATTGGTTGTAACTTCATTATGGAATGTCACTAAGAGCTCAATAAGATTTAAAAAAAAACTCTATATCAATACTCTTCTTAGGTAGTACAAAACAGTTTAATGCAACTGGCAGAGACCTAGATTACATTTTTAGTAGAACAGAGTTCTCATATTCACTTTCAAGATCACTTGATTTATATGTAAAAAAGAGACCTATGGTCAAGACTCTTATTACCGAGCTGTTTTAGTAAATGTTTGTCTCTTCGCTTTTCTAGCCTAGTCCTTCACAGCAGATCAATCTTGGCCCATCATCCAACCCACATGCCAAACCATCAGACTTTCATTTCTTAAAAGTAATTGGAAAAGGCAGCTTTGGGAAGGTAAACCAATTTTTTTTTTTCCCCTGTAGTTTAATCACTCTTCAGCTCTTGTATGTCATGCTTGCGGGTTGGGCTTTTACGGGCTTTATTAAATGAAATTTAAAACATTTAAAATGGAGCCAAAGCATCCCCTACTCCCTAGCGCCTGGCTCCCTTCGTAGCTGTGAGGTGTTTGCCCTGGGGTGGTCAGAAGAGCAAGGTGCCTGCTTGGTCACAAAAGAGCAAGGGAGCATGAAGTCACTGGTACTTCAGCTTGGAAGAATATATGACTTGCTTTTGGAAGAGAAGGAAACAAGGCATATAAATCCCTGCTAGATTTATTCACAAGGGTGGTAATAGTGTCAGGCATTTACAGCAAAGTGTTTGCACGTTCAACCAGAGGACCCTAACGGTGCTCAGCAGTTAACATCAAGGATTGTTTCCAGTTCTGTTTACAATTTGTCCTGTATTTCAGTGTTTTTCAGTTGTGTGATTTTAACTTCTTTCAGGTTCTCCTTGCACGGCATAAGGCAGAGGAACAATTCTATGCTGTTAAGGTCCTGCAGAAAAAAGCAATCCTGAAAAAGAAGGAGGTAAGTTGCTTCTGAGTGATGCTGTTGCAATGTCCGTGAAATAAATTTTTACTGCTGTTGGTAAGCAAATAGTGTCACTAAATACTGATTTCTTATGTTTTCAGGAGAAACACATTATGTCAGAGCGCAACGTTCTGCTGAAGAATGTGAAACACCCCTTCTTGGTCGGGCTTCACTTTTCCTTCCAAACAGCAGACAAGTTGTATTTTGTCCTAGACTACATCAATGGTGGAGAGGTAAGCATCAAGAAAATGAGGTAGTATTTCCTACAGTGTGTACATGATGGTAGCGTAGACTTTTCTCCCTTTCTTTTAAATAAAGAGTTCCCAGGGGAGAAGTCATGGGGGAAAAGTTATTAGAGTTACCGTCTCCAGCCTGCCAAGTTTTGAACTACCAAAGGATCATTAGGCCACTTCCTGCTATTGTTCTCTCTAGCTATATATGTTGAGTCTAATTAAATGCATTGTTAACAGGCTTTGGCGCCATTTACAGAACTTTGTTCTTTCTGTCTCCTGTAGTTGTTCTACCATCTCCAGAGGGAACGTTGCTTCCTGGAACCGAGAGCCCGTTTTTATGCTGCTGAAATAGCCAGTGCACTGGGCTACCTGCACTCCCTGAACATAGTTTATCGGTAAGCAACGTCATTCAATTTGTCAAACTAAAAAAGAAAAAAAATGCATACTTTGTTTAATATGCATTAAAAAGTTGATCTTAGTTTTAGCTCGCTTTTGAGTAACTTGCAACTTGATGAAGTTATGTCAACAGCTACACCTAAAATACTCTCGTGGTAGCTCTTCTAACACTTGTATTCTTTATCTGTTGCTACAGTGACTTGAAGCCAGAGAATATCCTGCTTGACTCTCAGGGGCACATTGTCTTGACTGACTTTGGACTCTGCAAGGAGAACATAGAGCACAATGGCACGACCTCCACCTTCTGTGGCACGCCGGAGGTAGGCTCAGCCCTAGGCGCACACAGCGGTAACGAGCCTTGCCCTTGTTAGCGAAAACTGCCATTTCTGATGTAGATTTACAGCAGACTAGACCAGGGGACGATATTATGGGTCTCAATGCCAGACTGCCGGTGAAGACGTGTAGAATGCATGCATAACAGGCAGAGTGGGAGAGAACAGCTTTCAAGCTGTCTCCCTGCATATGAAGAACATAAAACTTCCCAGTAGCTTAGATACTGCACTTATACAGTTAGCGTCCCCTTTAGTGCAAGAACATAGTGGCTTTCCTAATTACAAAGCCCCTTTTGGCTAAAAGGGCTCTCTTCCTTCTTTTATACAGTATCTTGCTCCTGAAGTTCTTCATAAGCAGCCCTATGACAGGACTGTCGACTGGTGGTGCCTTGGAGCAGTTTTATATGAGATGCTTTATGGCCTGGTAAGTAATGAACAGCCCTAGTGGCAGATCACACTACCTTCCTCTCGGTTATTGTGCTGTCAGGAAACGTGTGCCCACATGTCAGCTTTATTAACTTCAGTCTCTCCTCTGTCTTTCCCACAGCCACCTTTCTACAGCAGGAACACAGCAGAAATGTACGATAACATCTTGAACAAGCCGTTGCAGTTGAAGCCAAATATCACCAACTCTGCTAGGCATCTCCTGGAAGGCCTTTTACAAAAGGATAGGACAAAGCGGCTTGGTGCCAAGGAGGACTTTGTAAGTGCACACTGTCCAGTTCCTGTATGTAGCGCATGAAGATGACATATTACTTAAAGTGCTTTGGTTGAATTAATCTATTTTTCTGTCTATAACAGATGGAGATTAAGAATCACATCTTCTTCTCCCCAATTAACTGGGATGATCTCATTAATAAGAAGATTACACCCCCTTTTAACCCAAATGTGGTATGTATCACTTCTAATTATGGAATGTATAAAGAGTGTCTTTTCTGTTGTCTTTGTGAGGTGCCTAGGAGCCAAAGGGAACTGGCCGTATTGCTGTGTTAAAGGAATACGGTTTTTTCTTTCCTTGTTGCTGTCCAGACAAGGTTAAAATAAGCGGTAGCTGACTCTTTGTTGATGGCTAGTCTAAATTTAGCTGTTCTTTTGGCCTCACACAAATGCTTCATTTGCATGGCTATTTTAAAATAATCCTGGCCACCCCCATTTTACCAATGTGGGGAAGATAAGGTGTAGAAACTAAGTGGCTTCCCAACCATAGAGTTACATTTGGCTTGTCAAATCTAACATGCAAGAACAGGGATCTGTTGCAGAGGTTACTCTCTTCTATTTTCTGAGCGCTTTTAAAACTACATATAACAACTTGCCCAGAGATCAAAGTCCTGCCCTGTAAACTGCTGCATGGGAGAGTGGCATGTTTGCATTTGGCTTTTGTTGCATGAGCTTAGATGGAGGGTAGTGTATTAAATTGAATCATCTTGTTTTTAGTGAGACAATATGCAGCAGGATACAAAAAAGGTCAAACTATAACGGGCAAAGGCTGTAAAACAGTGAGCCTGAGGTGATAACACTGTGAGTCTCCATACAAGGATTTTTGTCCCCATTTTGAATTGAACTGTGAACTCATGCAAGATGGGCAGGTTTGGTCTAAACATTTTGTCTTTCCTTCTCTGCTCGTTCCACAGAGTGGCCCCAGTGACCTGCGACACTTTGATCCTGAGTTTACGGATGAGCCAGTCCCCAACTCCATTGGCCAGTCTCCAGACAGCATCCTCATTACTGCCAGCGTCAAAGAAGCTGCTGAGGCTTTTTTGGGCTTCTCGTATGCCCCACCTGTGGACTCATTCTTGTGAACACTTTGTGTGTTTTTTTTCTTTTTTGAATAATAATAACTATTATTTTTTATTTTTGTTTGGCCTTCTGGTTGAACTGCCAGTTGACCAGTCATCTTGAAACAGAATTTGCACATTTCTACCATGGCAGCTTTGCAGCCTTAATTTCAACTACACTGTTTGCTGGAAGCTTTTTTGAAGAGCACATCTCTCTCTAAATGAGCTTTACAGGCTTTTCATTTCCATTTGTTCTTCCCCCAAAGTGGTGCTTTCTCCTTGGGAAAGAAAAACAAACAGAAGTGACTGCTGCCATAGACTGCTATGGCAGATTGTAGGAGTAAGAACAAGCCGTTTTGAAATCATGTTCTGAAAAGCCTTGCCTGAAGATCTATCCAAACGTGATAAGGATTTATGAAATGTGCCTTTTTCTGATGAGATCTTGTTAGCTCCAAAGCTTTCCCTGTTGCAGAGTGTGTTTCTCAGTTCATTTATGTGGGTTTACTATGTGAACAAATGGTATGTGTGTGGTCTGCGTACTACAGATGGACTTAGTTTAAAGCATCAATGTGACACTTGCAGGATACCACAATGTGGGGCATTGTTTGTTTCTTCCATATTTGGAAGATAAATTAAGTGTAATTTTGAAATTTTTTTGTAATTCTATACAGTCAACTAAAATTATTGAAATGGGCTCACAATTACTTGTATCCAAATGCTTGAAGAAAGCATTGCTGCTATGAAAAAAGATTTCTATTTTTAGAAAGGGTTTTTATGGACCAAAATGCCCCAGCTGCAGTCGGTCAAAGCTGTTGGTCTCTTTTTTTTTTTCTTTTTTTTTTCTTTTTAAAGTTTAAAAGATGTCATCTGTAAAATGGGCATTATTTATGGTTTTGGGGGTTTTTCATTCCTGATTGTATGTACTGTAAAAAAAAAATATATATATATATATATCTGTATTTTCAGTTGTAACTCTAGATGTATATTTAAACTTACAGACTTACTTGTAATGTATACCATCATTGTAATGTAATATAATTAACATGGTTATATGTATCATATTTTTTGTGACCAAACCCATTGGTTTGCAGTAAAATCTTGAAAAATATTGCCATAAACTGTGTCATTTTTTTTCATTTTAAAACATTTTTCACTTAGCCTTTTTTCCATGAAGAGTTTCAAGTAGTGTTTTCAAAAAGTTTTAAGAACAAATCTGAGCTGCCAATCAGATAAAATGCCTGTGTAATTTTACTTAGGTAGGTAAAAGTTATTGTATTGAGGTACACCTATACAAATCGTAACACAGATGCGCCTTGCCAGAGTCCTTGGTCTTCCAGACGTGGATATCAGTGTGGGTATATGCTTTTCTATGCAGTAGAATAGTGTTCCCACTTATTATTGTGGGTTTCTCTACCTCTAACAAAACAATAGTACTGCTCTTTGGTGTAGACAAAACATAATTACAGTTGTGGAATCAAGTCCTTAAGTTAGCTATTGTATAACAGACTTGTTATACAATATAATTTTACTGTTATGCTGCAGACATGATAAAAGCAGGTTTTCATAAGGCTGACAGAAACCCTTTGTCCCCGTCCCTCCTGGAGCACAGGCCATTGCTATAGCTGTTGCAGCAGGAGTAATGCGCTGCATCCTGAATTTCTAATGGTAACAAAATTTGTATTGGGATAGCAGATTTGACCAATAATAATATACTTACTTGGATAGGGTACACACTCGTTTTAAAATCGAGCTGTTAACCCTAAGTTTTTATTACTGAGTCCTGGTGAGTGGTTTGTAAGAGGGACTTGGGATCAGCTTTTGGCCAGGAATTAAAATTATCACTTCTTTTGGGTGAGCCCACTCAATTTCCTTTTCTGCATGCTGATGAATGGTTTCTTTCTTTGCGGGACTGAGCATCTTATTTACAGCTCCCACCATCCACTGGTTAGTGCAGTTGGTGGTATCGGCAATTTGGAGAATCAAAATGATGATTTATTCAGAAAAACCTGGACAGAGAATCAACTGCAACTCAGGCTACTGCAATACTGTGTGTAAGCCAAGCTCTTGTACGGATGATTTTTGTTCATTGTATTTCTGAGACAGGAGCTTACAGCAACTTCCCATCTTTTATTATCTGTTGCAGATATGAACAAAAACACTGTATGCCTTCAGCTATAAATCATGTCTCTGGAAGACTACATTTTTAGCTGAAAATACTAATCTATAGCAGCTAAGAAACTCCTCTGCTTTCCAGTCATGTTAGTATAATTAAAGAGAGGTAGCCACCTCATCCTCAAACAGCTCCAAATTCATGAGTTAATAAACCTTTTAATTCTGTACTGACAAGACATGCAAGATCTTCCAGTGCTTTAATGTGCCTGAAACATCTTTTGTCATGATGATTTCTAGGCCGGAGTTGTTAAAATTCAAAGTACTAATTTGCACCTACAGAAAATGAAACTGTACTTGCTAAGTGACTAAATTTTGTGATATCCATTATCTTTGCCCTACAGCATTTCCCAGGCATTAGCAAGGTGCTAGGTGTAGATATGCAAGTTGAGAACTGCAGCCCCAATGTAGCAAAAAATTAAATACTTTCTAACGTTTTTTAAGAAAAAAAACACGGGCAGCATTAATGATAAAGTAGCGTGGAACTTCAGCGACTCAGAGGTCGACCTTCATGAATTTCATGAATGACAAGTAAATGGTATAATTTTAATGAGTTACTTTTAAAAGCAATCACTCCATTTGTAATTTTAACTTTTTTACCATGCCTTAACTAATTGTACGGTTGCTGTTTTGTGCACAAGTTTGCACTATTAGCAATGAATATTCAGCACATGACAGCGCCATGTTTCAGTGTGTTCACGGAAAGGTGAGTGATCTGTCAACATTTTAAATCTCTGAATCTAACGCAGTACAGCCACACAGAAAGGGAGATGCTGAGTTTATGGTAGTCCATGGTTTGTTGTTGTTGTGGAGGGGGGAGGGGGGTTGTGTGTTTTTGGATGCGTATGTGTGTGTGTGTGTTTGTTTCAACAGCATGCCCGGCGGGAAGGTCTAGGTTTCCTTTGGAGAAGAGTCTCTGGACTCAAAAGCAAAGGTCTAGGATTCTTGAAACCCTACCTGTCATAGGCTTTATGTGTTTTTGACTAAGTGCTGCATCTCAGGTTCAATTTCACCCTTTTGTAAGATGGAAGCAATGATCTAAATTTTCTGCGGGTGGCAGTGTTGTAACAGAGCTTGGGTAGTTTTAGTCAGCAGAACAGCTGACCCCATGAAACTGAAACTAACATTGTGCTGTGTATTGTATGGTGGACGACCATGGGCCCTAATATATACCTTTGAAAGAGTATATTGATACACACACATAAACATTTAAATGCACAAATTCAGGCATTTCATGTTGTTTAGTCTGTACGACTTAGCTCTGCCTACTACAAGCCACATTCATTTCATGATCGGTAAGAAGTTAAGTGAAGCTTCTAAGTGAGGACTGCATCTTTCTCCTGTTCCCTCTAAAATCAACAGAGCAGCATAAGGCAGTCCGGCTCTTAAGCAGGCATAAGTGGGAGGTGCCTGTTTCTCCACCAAAAGATTTTCAAACCTTAGTCTGTGCCCTTCTTCCGTACACTTCTCATAAGAAGCCTATTAAAATTAAATAAGAAAAGCAGAACTCTTGTACAGCTTTACATCTCTAGTGAAAAATATCTCAAATGAAGGACACTGCTCAGAAAAGAGCTCTGGATGATGGTCCTAATTAGGCATCTCACCTGAGGTACCAACAGTTAGGTGAGATGAATCCTGGCCCATCTGCACTAAGCTACAAAGTGAATTAAAATATTCCACAGCATTACGCTCCTATTTTACTCTAGCACAAGCTCTATGGATGTTTATGTGCTATCACATGGCTATAGCTATCCCTTGCAGAGCTAATAAAAATGGTTTAAAGAGGGTTCCTGACACATCCCACATTTATAGTTTCTGGTACCAAGACCAACATATAAAAACTAGGATAAAATTTTCCATGCTGGCTGGAACTGTCTGTGGAAAGTTTCTGCAAAATGCTTCCAAAATGAGAGCAGACCAAGAAAAAAAAAAAAAGTTGTTTTGCCATTTGAAAGAGAAAACTTTAAACAGTGCAGAAGATGCATTGCATTTATGTTTTGATTCAGAGATAATCTGGCCAGTGAAATACTTTATTGTCAGGTAAGGCACCAAATGAAATTTTTTTTCCAGTAACTAAATTTTAATAGCTGGTGGCTTTTCTGTAAAGATATAGGTACTACAGTAATGTTACATAATCATTACATATTTCCATTTGGTCACCTGTAGTTTTGTGAAGTAAGCTTTCCAACTTTTGATATTTACAAGCCCTGAAGAGACCAGAGGTCTTTTGTTTATTCAGGAGTTTCCTCCTGCTCCTACGTGGCCAAATAAAATGAAATAGAAAAAAAAAAAAAAAGAGTGGATCTCTCCACTTGTCTGCAGGATAGGTACAGTACAGATGGCCTGAGTGCAAAACTTGCGTTTCACTGCCTTGCCAGAGGGCCTTTGCTCTGCTCTTGAAGGCCTGCAGCAAGGGATAAAGAAGGTAATCAGCCTCCATGTCCTTTCAGTCCCTAGTCATTCTACTGGGTACCGCTGCCCAAAAGTTGTGTTGGTGGCACTTTTATGTGTGACATTTGATCTGGAACTGAAAACCCTTTGAGCTCTCACTAGTAGTGGCAATATTTGCTAGTTACTATCTTCAAACTATAGCTACCTACTATAGGGAGGTGAAAGACTCCCTCCTGCTGCACTGCCCAGCTCAGAGTCCTCTGATCACCCAGGGTTCATTCCCCTTGAAGGCATCCAGAGATTCAGTGCAGGAAGGTGGCATGTGCTCGTGAAATTCAGTTTAGACCAAGAGTGACATCGTGTGGTCACAGCAGTGCAGAGTTCAGCTTCCTTCTGGAGGAGGAAGACAGAGTGACTGAGTACTTGGTGACATGAAGGTCTGGTAGCTCATATATCTGGGAAATGATGCCCTTCTGCATCTACAATATGGATTGCTCTAAACTGCTATTAATTATGAGACAAGAATGATGTCATAACTCAAATTCCTCTTCCACTCAGACTTTACTTCCCAGGGAGAGACAGTTTTCTTTCCTTAAGCTGTGCGAGCCTTCATCAACCCTTCATCAACCCATCAAGGGGTCATAAACCCTTCCTTCTGTCAAATGCATTCTCCTCTGTAACATCCCTCGCTGGATCCACCGACCTTTCAGATGCACCCAGCTGACACAACAGTTTCCAGTAGTTTACGCTAGTACTGCTTATTCACTGTGTAGATTGCCTCACTGTTTACTTACTGCCTCCCTCTAGCAGGTGGGGATAGCCATCTCAAAGCTGTAGCAAATGAGCACCGATAGGCAAGAACAACATGAACACCTCCCCTCTCCCCCATCCATGGCCATCCATGGCCATCCATGGCCTCCATGATCAAGGCCATAGCCTTGATCAATCGGTTCACTAAAGACCTGTTCACTGGGAGGATCTGAGAAACTCGATGTACGGTTAATGGTCTCTCACACATTTACAAAGAGGAGATATCCCAACCAACAAACTACCCCTTATGAATGTAATATATGAAGCACACAAATAAGTGGTTTATAGGATAAAGCCTAAGCCTTCTTAGACTTCATCCTTCTCTTTCAGCACTCGTAAACATCCTTCCTTCTGCTCTTTAGAGTCTATATTTGTGACTGTTTTCTGGTGATATCTTCAGATTTTCTATACTCGTCTTCCGTAGGCTAGAAAACTTAATATTCCTTATAGTGTATTTCAATAGAGATATAGTACATAGTCATATATTGTTTAAAAAATATATGGCAGGTCAGTTACCATTTTTGCTTTTCCCAGGCAAGCCAACTCATTAGTTCAAGTAAATGCACACATGGCTCTGAAGATAGCTCTGCAGCTAATCTCTCTCCAGTTAAAACATATATGGCATATAGAGCAGTCTTCTGCTGAGACCTGTGCTGTATCAGTTCAGTTACACATGCTAAAAATAGCCTTTGTGTAGATTTGCACAGTTAATGATTGACTGTGCTGAGCTACACTGAA